CATGAGTCCTTTAGTAAACCTAAAACCGAATTCCATTATAACAGCTGAGGTACAAATACATGAACAGTTTTACCCGCCAAAGGCTCATAAAGTTCACCAGTTTTGTGATCCGGGCATCCCCTGTCGGATGGCAGAGTCTGTGACCTCCAGTGCAATTAAGAATCACAGCTTGGTCAGGGACCCGCCCCTTCATGTTGATTCGTCAACAAAAGAGGAGCAGCTCGTGGCATCCCTCTGCAACAGCACTGAGCAAAGGAGCAGAGGCCTGAATGCTTCAGAGCATTGCCCCTCACTCTCTGCCTGAAAGCTGCTATACCACGGGTTGGCAACCTCAGGACTCCAGCTGTGGTGAGGGTACAAATCCCATTATGCGTCTACCTCTGGGGTTCATGTCTGTGTTGGTCAGTCTTGCAATGCCTCATGGGACTTGTAGTTTCATCACAGCTGGAGTGCCGAGGTGTGTGTGTGTGTGTGTGTGTGTCTTCTACATGCGCCCCGGTATCTCCTGCACTAAAGATTAAACATCACCTCCCAGCAGCAGAGCAGATTTGCATGTTGAAGAGTCCAGTGATCAGGGGACGTTGTGTGTACAAGTCGGCTTATGTCGCGTTATGTTGGTGAGAAATCCTTTTAATGATCCCGGGTTTCCATATTTTTCAGGGCGTATCCGATCTCGGAGTATCCGTGTAAAACGCAGAAGGCAGCGGCTGTAATGCACATGATCATGAACAATCTGGATCCCGCAGTAGCTCAGGTATACATTTAATGTAACTGGGGGGGCTGGAAATGAAGAACCGGGCCTGGCCCACGGAAAAAATGGCCACATTGCTGACATTGCCTCCTGGGATTACAGCTCCCATCATGCAGCCGGCCAACGCTCCCCAGCTCTCTCCCACGGTGGGGGGTCATTGTGCACTTGGGGAGACTTGTTTTTTGCTTAATTTGAACATTCTGCATTCACTGACCCACCGAAAGCCCCTGTATGGCGGCGGGTGTCCTGTAAGACTGTTGGGGGTTCCCAAAACATTTTAACCCACCCACCTAAGGGTGCCATTTCTGGACTTTTATTTCCACTTTGGTTCCTTGCACTGGGGCCCTGAGGTTTCTAGTTACGCCTCTGTTATGTGCCCACCTATGCTCTCCCGGCCTTGTGTAAAAAGTCAAATGAAATCGGCTAAATCTATTCTATATCCAAATAAAGCAGCCACAGGCTGAGTAGAAAAGCCTGTCCCCTGCCGGCATGGTGCAATAGAAGGACCCTTCGCTCTCTGAAGGTTCATTGGGACTTCTAGGGCTCACTTTAGGGATTAAGTGCTCAGGTCAGAGTAACCTTACCGGTGGTCAGTGATGTTGAATGTACTGAAGCCAAAGTTGTGGCATGAAAACCAGGAAATTTTCATTAGGAAAGGTCAGTGATGGCAGCCAATGTACTTCTACTATGATGACAGGTCACCTGGACTTTTCAGTAACTTAAAGGAGAACTACGGGGTTACGGCTTTTCCCCATAGTTCTCCTTAGGGTAACGGGAGGACACAAACTAGCGTCTTCCCGTCACCCAAAACTCAGTATACCGCGAGCTGTAGCTCGCGGTATACTGAGACACCGCAGCCGGAACGGATCCCGACAATTATGTCTGGATCCGCCCAGCTGCGTGAGTGACAGCTGGCTCTGCCTATCTAGAGGCAGAGCCAGCTGTACCCGCCCCCTCCCCCGTCCATTCCGCCAGTCAGCGCTGGTGGAGAGGGGAATCAAGCCCCTCCCGTCATGGCAGAGAGCCGTGACATGATCGAGAAGTGAGCGAACCCGGTATGTGTTCACTCACCTCCCGATCTACTGAGCCGACCTGCGACATTCTCATTGTCACAGGTCGGCTAGAACTATGAGGTGAGTGAAAAGCACGTACCTCATAGTTCTCCTTTTAACAAGTCTCCATGTATATACATTCCTGGCATGTCACAGTATATAGTAACAGTATAATTTTACAGAAAATCTGTTACTTTGAAACATTATCAATAATCCTAACCGGCGTTTCTGGTTTTCTGCCCTGTAATAGTTTCCTCAGGAACTGGTGACCTACGGAGGGAACGGGCAAGTGTTCAGCAACTGGGCCCAGGTATGTGAGATGACGGCTCCATGCAATATAATATCATTTTATACAAGTGGGGGGTGGAGCAAGGGGTAGAAATTCTTCAGGTTCCCCCAAATCCTTGCCATTTTCTCCAACCAAATTTGAGTCATTGGGGGGAGGCAACATTCAAAGTGGGTGACTAATATAAGGGGGGCTCTGATGTGAAAGGAAGGGGCTCCTAATATAAAGGGGAGGGATTTTTTTACAAATCCACGTTAAATTTAAATTTTTGGACTGGTGTGTCTTGATGTTGCACACTTTAAAGGGTGCTGTGACCAAATAAAGGTTAAGAAAGGCTGAACTAAGCTATCCTATATATTCAAGCAATAGTACATAATTTTACAAAAACACACCTATCCAAAAAACACTAAATGGTATAAATTAAACTAACGTAAATCTTAAATTAGGATATTTATCCTAAAAAACAAACCCCAAACCTTTTAAATATAGGGCAAAAAAAGTATAAAAAATGTGGGAAACATATCAAGAACACAAGTGGAATAAAGTATCCTTAAATAAACCTAAATACAATAACGAACCTCTAAATAAAGAAGGGGGGGGGTGGTGGGTGGGGGGAACCCAAAGTTGCATAAAACAAATGCACATATAAAATGGTGTGTAATACAAAGAACACTAAATGGAATGAACTAAACTGTCCTAAATGGACCCAATAAGAACTCCGCCTCCTTTTATAAAAGGTAAGAGTAGCTCCTCTGGCCGGTTCACTTTAAGCACCCCCCGGGCTGTTTGCCTGCCACTGGTTTCTCATTAGAGATTCCTGTGTTGTTGTGCTCGGGTTCTCCTTTTGTTATGGGCAGGTCATTGGCTCATCGGCTGCGTCCTAATTATGGAAGCAGAATGTGCGGCGTTGGGATTCCTCGCATTGCTCTGTGTTTTACCTGGCATGGGACGCATGTTTTGGTCCGCTCTGTCTGGTGGGAGTCTCTGGGATGACCGGGATAATTAAACCGCACCCACAGTCTTGAGTGGGTGCGGGGGGAGTGTAGAAATGCACCCATCGGCTATAATTAAGCAGAGCTCCCGTCCTGGGTCATGTAACCCAGAGCCTTGCTGTGTGAATGCACACTCTTCTCATGTTTGCTCCAGGTCATGTGACTGAAGGCCTTTTTAAAAAAAAGTTTTGGATAGAGTGGAAAAGGATAGGACCCTTGCCAGGTTTTTATTGCAGCTTGTGTCCCCATTTGGAAGGTTCACCCTCTCCTGTTCCTGGTGACCATTTATCACAAAGTAAAAAAATCCCAAATTTTGGGCTGTCGCCAGAACGGGAATTGATGGGAAATCTTCCAATGGGGACACTTGTTCTGGTGACCACCATGGATTTCCCTTGCTTTTGGAGGGATTTCCTTTCACTTCCTGTTGTGGCTATTGGACAGGAAGTGAGGGGGGGGCACGTTTTGACCATTCCTTTTAAACTTGGCTTTGGATGAACTTTGAGGTTTGGTCTTCTCTCCATTGTATCTCCAGTTCTGGCTTGTGATGTATTACCTCGCTGAGATGACGGAAGATCAGACCCTGGTCATGTACAGCGGACATCCTCTCGGCCTCTTTCCTAGTCACCCCAGAGCTCCACGAGTGGTCATCACCAATGGGATGGTGAGCAACAACCTCCATATTGATTCCCTTCCACCTGCTGTCTAGCTTTGTTCTTATAATTTTTATTTTTTTTAAAGGTGATTCCGAACTATTCCACCCGGAAAGATTACAACAGGATGTTCGCATTGGGAGTGACTATGTAAGAATGTTACCTTGTTTCTAACATGTTTCATCAGGTCGTAGTTACATCAGCTGCCCCTCATTTGGCTTGGCCACTAGGGCATAGAGAATGCTTCCTTATTGCGGTACACCACAGCAGCCAATCGGATGTGTTGACTGAACCACAGAGAGGTCCATTCTGATAGGAGATTATAGATGTCCTGATGAGTTAGCTGAAAGGTTTTCTGATCGATAGGATTGATCAGACCTTGGAAGAATCTGGTCCCACTCAATATTGGTGTTCAAGCATTCCAATCGATCTTCAGGATCTATTCTAGAGAACAAAATTACTTTTATTATTCGAAAAAAAACTCTAAAACTTTAGTAACTCGGTTAGCAGCAATGAGGTCCCCGGTTTAAATCTAGGTTCTGCTAGGACACGATCTTCATGGAGGTTGCATGTTCTCCCTGTGCTTGCGTCGGCTTTCTCTGGAGCTTAGGTATTCGGGTTAGTTGGCTCTTGTCTAGATTGGTTCTAGTGCCGGTGTGCATGTGAGGTAGGGACAAGGACGGCATCAAATTGACTGCACTTTATAAATACCTGTAATGAAAAAGCAAGTTGTCGGCTCCTTAACTTTCATGGGAGGGCTTTATAGGGTCTGAACCTTCACCTGAAGTCAGCAGTGATGTTTGGGAGGGCTGGTTGGGGTCCTAACCTTTACCTGAAGTCAGCAGTGACATATGAGAGGCCTGGATGGGGTCTGAACCTTCACATGACATCACCAGTGACGTATGGGAGGGCTGGATGGTGTCTGAGCCTTCGCCTAAAATAAGTAATGACGTATGGAAGGGCTGTGTGGGGACTGAACCTTCACCTGAAATCGGCAGCAATGTATGGTGGGGCTGGCTGGGGTCTCAACCTTCACCTGAAATTGGCTGTGAAATAGTGGCTTTTAGGGGTGCTGATGCTAATTCTAGAAGTGTCCAGGCCCTGGGGGGGTCACATCCAAAAACACCCAATCTATTTCAGCACAGCAGATTTTTTGATGAGGGCTCAGACCATACACAGCACCATACACAGTTGAATGTTGGCAAGCTAGGGATGGTAAATCACTGAAGAGCCTCCCTCCCAGAGAGTAACTCCTTCCTTTTAAAATGTGGTTCTTGACAGGTATGGGCAGATGACTGCGGGAAGCTATTGTTACATCGGCCCGCAGGGGATTGTCCATGGTACGGTGGTAAGTAACATTATCATTGGGTAAGTGGGAGGAGATTGGGTTGGGCAGCTATGACTTTGTACTAGATGCTCGCAGGCAGCTCTGCAGGTAAATGGAATCCTAGATGGGTGTCTGTGAGGTTCAGTATCTCTTGTGTATCTCGCAGTTGACCGTATTAAACGCCGGACGCCGTTACCTTGGCTTGGAGGACCTGGCCGGGAAGGTGTTTGTCACGTCTGGTCTTGGAGGGATGAGCGGCGCTCAGGCGAAGGCAGCGGCTATCGTTGGCTGCGTAGGAGTTATTGCAGAGGTATGCACAAAACTTTGAGGGCTGTTTGACCCAAGACCGCCATCTGTACCCGTCACTACTAGTCACTGGTCCTCAGCAGGCCGGTACATATTGCCCCCGTACACCTGATTGTTCTAAGCGAGTTCCTAACGAGGACAACCGCTTGGAGATTTACCATTTCCTGTCCAGTGAAACCATTGTCACCAGAACAGGAAGTGAGGGGAAAATCTTTCTAATGGAGCCCCGAATAGCAGTAAAAATCTCACGGGTTGAATTCCCCTGCCCCCCCACTAGATCCAAAACTAAGGCCCCTCTCACACCCAGGCCGCCTTTCTTGGCTCCTTTCCCTTCAGAGGAATATTATTGCTTTCAATGGCCCCTGTTCACATCTGAGCATTCTGTTGCTTGTAGCCTGATGGCTGTAGATTGAAGAAAGTACATGAGCTTTTTTTTCAGGCAAATTTGTGTGTTTTTGCCCTCCAGAGACTTTTTATGGGAGCATGTTAAAGTTTATGAAGCCAAAAAGCGTGCAAATCTGCTCCTGTACTACTAGTCCCGTGTACAAATGTACATCAAAAAGCCTCTAAATCACCTGTCTATGCTTAGGTGTGAATGAGACCTACAATAAAAAGTTTTGGCTACATACACCTTAAGATTAAGGGCGTATTTATACATTTGGGTGAATGCCATTCACATTTCTTTACCGCCACTAGATGGAGCCGAGGAGCATAAGGAAATTCCTATGCTCCCCTGCGCCATCTAGTGGCAGAAGTAATATACAAATGGTTTTCACCCAGCTATGCATTGGGAGGAAGATTTATAACTCTGCCCCTTTGATGTGCTAGCAGCGTGTTTCTTATAAAGGATCTGTAGTCACAATGTGCTGTTTATTTATTCTTTATCTAGTCTAATATATAAACAATTTTTTATGGTCCTGTTAGGTTGATGAAAATGCTTTGTTAAAGCGTCACAAGCAGGGTTGGCTGATGGAGGTTACAAGTTCGCTGGATGAGTGTATTCAGAGGATCCGGTAAGCTGTGTGTTCCAGAGATCTCATAAAGACAGAACATCATTATATAAATACCAGGGGGAGACTAACTCCGGCCCTCCGATTTGTGGTGAAACTACAAATCTCATCCTGTGGCTTTCAGAGTCTTGCAATTTTAGTTTTGCCACCGCTGGAGGGCTGAAATTGGGCCACCCCTGGTATATGTTATACCCTAACATAGTGTTTGGTAACACAGTGACTTTGCCTAGGCTGAGATGTAGTCAGTCTGCTGCAGGCGGAAGGAAGGAGCCATCAGTATCCTTACCCCCCCCGCCCCCCACAACCTAGAAGTTTGGGGAACGGAGGATCTCTTCGGACTGGCGGCGGGTAGGAGACTGGGGGGGGACTAGGGTACAAAAAAGGTGCTGGGCTGTTTTTATCCCCATGCAGAGAATGCCTTAAGGTAAAAAATGCCCAGACCTTAATACTACTTTTAAGTCTTTCCAGCTCGTCCTTCTAGTAGGATGTCAGGTTGCCCTTTGCTGTGACGCTTACGTTCTATAGAGCATATTCATAGGCCGGCCCGGATTCCCCACAAGGCCACCGAGGCTCGGGCAGCAGCAGTGTCCTTGTGGGGAAGTTCCGTCGGGCGGTAGGTTGCCCTCTCTACATTTAGTAATGCTTTGCACAAGCAGGACTAAATGTAGAGTGAGGCGGCCGTTTGTTCGTTATATGTGATGTCGCCGAGATCACATGTAAACAGTCTGCAGCCCCCCCTTTCCCCCCTGCACTTACCTCTCTCCTCTGGTTCCGGGCTGCGCCGCCGAGTCCGTCTCCTCACTGCAATGAGCAGAGCGGCAGGGTTAAAAGTAACCTTGCTGCTCCGTGTAGACAGTGAGAGTGGAGAGCTGTGCTAGAACTCCTCTATTAGAGGTGATGGGGGTCAATAAAGAGAACCTGTCACCTCCAATTGCTATCACACAGGGGATTGTTTTCTCCTGTGTGATGGCAATAAAGTTAGGTGAAAAAAAACTAAATTAAAAAATATGAAATGATTAAATAATGGTGGTTTTAAAAAGTAAAAAATAAGAAAATAATTATAAAAAAGTAAATAAGATAAATAAAAATCTAAAAAAAAAGAAATAAAAAGGGAAAGTTTAAAAAAATAAAGAAACCGTAAAAAAAAATTGCACTAACCCCGCTACCCTGCCATCTGGTTGCCATTCTCCATTGATGGGGAGGGGGGGGTGTATCGCGGAACCTGGCCTTGGGGCGGCAGGGAGAGTAAATCTGGCCCTGTTCATAGGAGCTTCTCGGGTGAGACTGAGAATGTTCCTCTGTAGGAAGCTCCGGTGCTTAATGTACAGCTTGTATACATTTACCCCTGTTTTTGTTTCCTTCAGGAAAGCACGAAAGGATAAAGAGACTCTGAGCCTGGGATACCATGGGAACGTTGTGGACCTCTGGCAAGTCCTCTTCCTCTATGTGATGTTATTGGGT